AGGTCATCTTTGATAACGTACTAAATAATAAAGGCTGACCGGGACTATCGTTTGTAATTGTGGGAACCAAAAACATATGCATTGTGTATCAATTGAAATGCGAAATGGCCGTAAAAGATTTATTCCAAGGTGAAGAACTTTAAAAAAGAATGATGCTTACCGGTGCCCCATTTCTATGTTCTATTTTCCCAATTCCACATTATGTGAGAATTCCAACGATTTATATATTTGTTGTTTTTTAATTTCCTTGTTTGCACAAGTCAATCATTATCTCGGGGTTATGGCAGATTTTTGTTTGTTTTTACGGGTTCAACCTTCTCTCGCTTCAATGTAGCTACATCAAAATAGAAGTAACCAGTTTGACGCGCTTTAAGATCTGCCAGGTTTTAATATTTCATATCAGCACACGCTATTTAATTGACCTTATTGTAACCTCTATGTCAATAATGATGTTGCTTCAAAACATTTGTAATTGTTTTGCTTTGTCTCGACGGTTAAGATAAGAATTTGCTATGCATTTAATTATACTTTTGCGTTCTTTTGCACATAGCTAACACATTTCATGGTAAAATCAAATACATCGAAGCACTTGTTAAAAAGTCAGAGACCGGTGTATGTGTGCTGGCCGATGATCGACGATGCTCCGTGTTTTTAAAGAATATATTATGAAAGTTTTTTTTTGAGGTGTGTTTTGAATATTCCCGTCATAGTTTCAAAATGTAATACATGGTAATTTTTTCGAGGAAATTTATTTGCAAATTTCATCTCAAGTTTTAACAAAAAATTTAAATGTAGTACACATATTATTGTAACTAAATACAGTTTTAACTAAAACTGTGTTTTATTATGAACTCTTTCCACAAGCGAAAAAATGCTTTTTTGGTAAGTGGCCTCAGACTTTGGTAGTCCCTAGCTTCAGTCTTCAAAATGCTGTACAAGTATCTATGATGCCAATTTTTCTAATGCACATCGATAAATTTTAGATCTAATAAAAGAAAACTGAAGATTGACAAAAATGTTCAAATGTATATGAAATTAAACAATATGTCTAAAAGCTCATGTCTATTTACTAAAAGTAAATCTAAGTCTCAGTGACGGAAACATGGAGTAAAGCAAAGTAAATTTCAATTGCTCTTCAATTGATAATGATAGCTACATACGGTTACTTTGACTTTGAAATTAGCTGATACACTGCTGGTTAACCTGAGTATAATTCGATTAAAGACCCAACCCTTCAAACGCCCTTCAATTTTTGAGATGCTTTTTGGCAGTCACCTTAAACATAAATTAAGATAGTAGTTCTCACAAAGCTCTTTTCGGTTCAGTTATCGAGCACATCCAGAAAGTTCAATTTTTTCTACCTTGTCAGCTCGATTTTTGTTCTGAACGAAATGGAACAATTATGTCATATCAACTGCAAGTCCGCAAGTCGTATCTTGAGTATCACCTTAGCTTTTTTATCGTGTTTTTCCTTCTGCAATCAACAAGAGATTTTCGACAACATTTACTAAAGTCCAAGCAGGCATAGTTTGATTGTTCCTGACAGTAAACAGACATTCGTGACACGATAAATAAGCAAATTGGCTTTTAATTAAATTGAGCCTGTCCAAAGTGAATTAATTTGTTCTTCATATCGTCAGCTCATTCAAAGTAATATTATAAAAATGTTTTCGATGCGTCATTGCTGTTTTTTTTTCTTCATAGAGTATTATGTTTCTGATTTTTCTCGACACAAGAGGAAGAAGATATTTAGATTATTGCATATTTTGAAGTATTATATGTTTCAAATCAACAAACAAGATGTTAACAGCTATGTTTCGAGGCTAATATACGACCTCGAGTTAACGAAATCGTATCATTCGTATGCGTGGAATTTGCGTGGGATCATCTTGGAAAGAGGTCATGAAATGAAAACCCTTAGAATTAGGTTATCCGACCAATCATGTAGGCACGGGGAAAAAAACAAAGAAATATGTCTACTAAATTTGCGTTCGTAATATTTTACGCTGTGTAGAAAACCGTCGATTATCATTTTCACTTGCAAAAATTTATCGTTGCTAATGAGGTGAAAAATGTGACCCGTTTTTCGTCAACTTTTCTACACGTCAAGACATGTTCATTTACAATTAATTTTAATATTTATAGCATCGATCATTTAACGCACATCCCAATTAGAGTACGTATATATTATCAACATATTTAAGTCACGAGCACTCGTCGTTCATCGTAGATGCATTCTTTTTGTGCAAATTACTGATAGATGTGTACCCATGCGGTCGAAAAACCTGGAGGCCGCTCCATTTTCTGTTCTGGAAGATTTTGAACACTTCTGAAGTGGAACACCGTTATGAACACCAGGACAACACAATACCACAGGGATTTCTCGGCGGTTGAAATCAGCTATTAGTTGTAGACGTATGCTCCGGGCATTTCTCGTAAAATAGAAGGCAAAGCTATATGGACAACATTCCTAATCGCCGTCACATTTCCCTTCTGCTAAAGTAATTCATGTATAAAAGTTTAGATAAGTTGGATAACAGTGTTCTGTTGTCTTCTGTCTCTTTTCTGTTTGTGTTTCAATGGAGCTATCTTTTGAAGTGATGTAGTATTTTGAGTGTTTGTTCGAAAGGTACGGAAGCCCTTATATTCCCGCTGTGTCATCCAATGGCTTTCCAACTGAGCTATCATAACTGTTGTGTAGAAGAGTCCGTAGATAACTTTATATATGGTACATGTTATTCTTTTCAATGCAATACAAAGCATGTGCGGAATTGACATTAAGAGAATTGTAGTTGCATCTTAACTCTCTACTTCTATCCTGTTTCTTTCGTTTTGCTTTTGCAGATAATGCTTTATCTAATACTCTTGCCTTGGTTAGCAAATACTTTTGAAAGCTCTGTGTTTCATTTTGTGCAGCGTCCACATGACGCTTTAAACCGCGAATGTTTGCTTGTATTCGTTTACGAGGCCCGGGAGCGTTATAGGAAAACATAATTTTTGGGTGAACATCGTTTCCTTTGAACGATTTCAATAGTTCCAAAACTTTATTCAGTCGTGACTGTAAAAAAATTTCCAAAATATTGTGTGCTCTTTTCTTAAAAGACTTTATCCAGAAATGAAATTTGCCCAGTCAAATTCTTGTCGTAATCGGCTGTGGCAAACTCTCCCGTTAACATTTTGTGCCGGCATCGTGTGAACGTCGTCTTAGTGTGCATTTCATGAAAGTTCCACCAACCGTGTTATTTTTGAAAACACAAATAAAAATTATTATGGTTATTTTTATAGAGAAGTTCTTCGTGTTATATACATATATGTAAAAAAGTTAAACAAACTAACCTGACGCCAAAGGCGAAAAAACTCCAAAATATGTGAATATGGTAGTTCCGGATCTAGGGTCCAAAATACAGTTGCACGCAATATCAAAATCTTGTACAGATTTACATTCCAATTTTTTTTCCATAACACGATTTCTTATTATGAAGGAAATTGAAATGTGGCAATGAATTCTACTTCTACATTCGCCTCCGTAAATATATGTAGAGCTAATATTTCAAAGTCCAACAAAGCGATCTTCAGATGAAAGATTTCCATTCAGGATGAACCCTAGCGTACGGTTGAAAACGTTGCGGGCATGCCAGGGCAAAATAAATATTTTCATAAGCAATAAACAGTTAAGTAGGATGTGCGAGATTATTTCGTCTGCGCTTATGGAAATAACTCGAATGAACTAGAATAGATTAATAAATGTTTTAACATTATTCAGAAGAATTAGCTCATTTAATGCGATTACATGAAGTGTTACGAGTGCTTATTCTCACATAATTCACACCATTGCGCCACAATTTCACGCTATTTGCGTTTCATAGTATTAGGGTTTCTCGGCTTCGAAATTTTTTAAAGGAACAGTAAATGAAGTTTGAAGTGGGCGTTTGTATCGGTCCATGAAAGTATGAAGAGAGAACGGAGCATTTTCTTACATGTAAAATGTCGTAACGCGTGTCATTGCAGATTGTGATGAATCAATCATTTACGAAGAACTGTTTTTACCCTACCTAGACTGTAAACTGAGTGGTTATTGTATACAGTGAAAACTTTCCTTGTATAAAGGCGTAAAAAACGAGCACGATCTTTGAACTATCTAGTAGGTACTCTTCTTTTCAGTGTACATTTTGGTGTACACTGAGAAATCTAGAAGTAAAAATCGACAGAGAACACGAGGGCTTAGAATGAACACGTGCGTCAGTGCACTATTTGATTTACATAGTGAAATTTTTAGGAGTAAAAATCGATAGAGAACGAGGGCAGTTTTTATTCAGAACAAGTGCAGAGCTAATTCAGAAGAAATTAGAACTAATTACAACTAATAAAAACTAATTCAGAAGTAATTCTTATTCTTAATCTAAAACAATAAACTGAGATTACGTAGCTTACGTCATGAAGGAGGAGAGTTTCACTACCCAAATATAAACGTGATAAGATAATGTTGATCAGATTAAAGAATGCGATAAAAAGCAAAGAAAGCTATCTTAACACCGCAGGAAACATATTTATTTATGATAATATTACAATCTATCGGTCATTTTCACTGGTAAATAAAAACATTGTCTCCTTTGCTTCTTTCTATATAGCAGTTCGTTAACTTATCCGAGAATGTACGTTTCACGATTACGGGTTTTTATCTGGCCTTTGCAGATGACGTAAATTAGGTTTGCATCTTGCACTTGTTGAGCTGGGAAATTTTATCGTGTTCCTCGAGAGCATTAGGGCTTGAATATTTGTGCGATTAACCCGTGATGGGATTGGTCAAGGTTGAATTCATGCGTAATTGTTGTGTTGTCGAACGTGTGTGTTCTGACCCGGGTTTAATTTTTAAAGTTCTGATTTGGTGCCCTCTAAGAATTGTTGAGAACACCGTTTTGATTGGACGCTTGTTGTGTAATAGCCTTAGGGGTCGCCCTCATGTGTATATCTTGCAAAACTTTACTTTATCGTTCATTTAGGGATCGCAAATTAACATAACCTGACGTCCGGACGCTCTGCATTCCACTTGACAGCAGGCTCTATATCCGTACGGACCACGCTGAAGGCAAGCTGAAAAAGAAATGGATCGATCATCTAAACGTGAAGGGCTCGTCTTGCTTCTACTTATTATATTCTTCACGAATCGTGGTTTCGGAGTTGCAGGAGAAACTTCTAATGACAGTAAGTTTTGTGATGCCATTACTAAGCAACACGGTGAATTGCGTCTTCCTACCGTACATCTTGTGTCCAATATATTTTTACCATGCATGCATCACTGTGCCAGCATTGTGTGGTCAGGGTGGTGCGATTTGTGTGTTACGATCTCTTCCATAGCACATATTTGTCTTTCACGTATAGTTGTGTTTACAGTTGCGTATTGAGGAACATTTCTCGACATTCCTTTAAAAGATACAAGATGTTTTGAAAATATCCTCGAATCGAATCCTTCAAGACAGCCGTACGCTTTTGCGTTCAACTTGCAATTTATGTCAGCTATGTGTAGCATGGATTTATTTATAGACTATGTGCCATGAACTTATATTATCCCTGACTGTTTCTATGATCCGATTTCTGTTGCCCGTCTGCTCGAATGCGACATGTTGCCTGAACGAGTCGAGCCGCTCACATGCGTTTTCGCGTATTCTAGGAGGAGAAGGCAAACGGCGTCGATCTCAAATAGTTGTCCCAAGAAGAATTTCAGCTGATACAAATGGAGGCGGCTTCCACCATTTCCTAAGTTTCGCTCAACAAAGCGGCGACGAAGAGATGCGATACAACTTGACAGCTTTTGGAAAGGTGTACAAGTTCGTTTTAAGGCCGAAAAGGAATTTCATTTCACCCTCTTTCAATGTGGAACATTACACTACAGCCAACCTTACAAAACCGATTCCTACTGGTGTTGACCTTTCACATTGCTTTTACCGCGGAACGATTTGTAATGACACCACGTCCTCTGCTGCGTTTGATCTCTGCGGTGGGATGGTAAGTAATGTCTGCTTGTTGTCGTCTGTGCTGCCTAGAAAAGTTCTGTTTACGTGATGTCCAAACGTTATGTTTAGCTTAAGTGTTTTTATTTCGCGGCTTATGTTGTTTGTGTTTAACTTTGAGTTTCTTATCAATCGCTCCTCGCATTATTGCTCCTATCTCTCGTTTCCGGTACATGTGAAAATTGCATATTTTGCGTTAATAACTCGACGAAATATGGCGAATGTGAAATTTCGCATAACTTGTGTTTCATGTGTAGAACTTTATGTGGGACTATTGAAAGTGTTTGTTCTTTTGATTTAACGATGCAAATATTCTGCAAATGTTAAATACCATGAAATAATGGTTGCTCTCGATGCCAAAATTCATTGAATAGGCAGACTGCAAGTAGTTTAGATGCTATTTCCCAGTGGGTGTTGATTTCCGCTCTGTGTACATTGCTTACATTACATAAACAGTGGTCTCGTGAGCTTCGCGTATAATACTGATTTTCGCTGTCCTTCGAGAAATTTTTTGCTAATGGGTTCTGGTCGCGTTTCCTCTTCTGTGTTATGGCGCTGCAACATCTATTTTACCAAGTGGTAAAAGTCGTCATCACTAAAGATTTTACAAGTAACTGCGTCACTATGTAGTTTGGATTAACCTCAGGTCAAAGGGGTGATAGACGTCAGTTAATTAGTACTTCATTTAAACCATCCTTGCATTTTCTTCTTCATCTCTTCGATTGCCTTTTTCGGGAATTGCTGATCATTTCCTTAGCATGAAAATGCCTTGGGCATGCGTTCATTGTGCGTTGTGTCGGAGAGCAGCTAACTAGTACTTAATTTAAAACATCTTTTTATTTTCTTATTCATCTCTTCAATTGCCTTTTTTGGAAAAGCAAATGTGTTTGCATTGCTTCGAAATGCCGCGAGCATGAAATCATTGTTCAGAATGATGTTGATCTTGTTTTGTTAGCCCGTCACTAAAGACATGATGGTTTAAGAAGTAAATTGTTGCCAAAGCAACGCTGTTTTTGTATATCAGTTTTCATGGGTCGGATTGAGGTGGTGGCTAGTATGAAGACGACATGATACACGAAGAAAAACTTCTGTCTGCAATAATGTTGAATATTGGGATGACGAAATAGGTTTTAGTTGCATGACCTTTCAAGTTGAGAAATTTCAAGCTTCTTTACACATACGTCGTGATATGGCACATGCAAAAGTGTTCGTTGAATTTATATGAACACAGAAAAATATCCGTATACGAAACTTGCCATTGTCTTTTCAACTATACTTTAAAGTTTTGTTTCCATGTTCAGATTTTATATTTCTTCCAATGCCGAAACGTGATTTCGCTTAGTTTTTGCATTTCACATGTGCTTCGTGACGATAGTCGTATATATACATCTTTTATATATATGTCATATATGTCTTTTAATAAAACGACAATTCTTTAAAACCCTTTTTGCCATTAACAGCCAGCTTTTCACAGTAAGCTTCTTATGTACCAAGATGTCAGCATGTATTATTTGTTCAATCGTTTGGCTGCCATTCCAAAATTAGTAGCGTAAACTTTCAACCAACAGGGGGTAATAAGTCATTTCGGATGTTTCACGTCGTCAAAATTGTGCACTGTCGGCTATCTTTTCCTCAACTCGAGCGCATTGGGAATCAATGTTTCGCCATTGGTCTGTTCGGTCAATTTAGCTACATGCATGCATTTCAAAATTGTCGTTGCAGTCGATTTAACCATGGTGTGACTGTAAATGTAAAGCGACTTCCGATCGGCAAAGATTGATAGGCTGAAAAGGTTTGGAAGATATGACGTCGAAGCCATTATTTAAAACACAAATATGTGTTGCATGTTTGTAGATGTAGATCGTCCAGGTGCATTTTTAAGAAGGACTGTTGGTGTTAGTATTGATGAATGGTTTGACAACCTTAGTGGTAGTCATGTTCAGAGTGGTAAATGTAAGGTGTTACGCTATTAGTTCTACTTAAAATAATACTCTTTGGTTCAACCATTTACTTAGCCTAAATGTACGTATTGAACAACTGGGAAATGGTTGGGAAATACGCTATAGTATAAAGCATAAGTAATGTTGGTCATGAATGAACACCAGTGAAGAAAAAAGAACAAAAGACAACAAGAACAATTATTTTCGGGACCAAAAACCACATTATATATGTATGAATATAAATATGAATCTGCAGACCTAAACGTGTACGTTCATGAGAGCTCAATTTTCTCACTTTATATAGAGAGGTGCTTTTAAAACACGTGATGGAGTGTTTCTCATTGAGCCGCTGGTCAAAAATAAACTTGGAGATGATAACGCAGGCTCCGCTGACAAACCTCATTTGATTACCAACTATTTGGCAACGTCATCTCCAATCCGTGAAAGGGTTCACCTGGAAAACGGTGAGTTTGTAAAATTGAACATAAATCATGAAGTAGTCTTTACTAGGGACACGTGCACCGCATCAGATTTTTAGAAATACGACAAAAAAAACTGTGGGCTCTTGCCTCACACAGAAGCTACAAAAGTCTGCAGCTCATTTTTGGATATGCACCTTAAAAGCATAACGATTGGTTGAATTTTATTCTTTTGAAATTCTTAACCAACGCTGTTATTCTGAAGGTATTTTGAATTTAGAAATGAGCAGGATGCTCCCCTGAAACCATTTTCTTTTCTTTTTTTTTTGTTTTTGATGACTTTGGAAATTTTCAATTTGACGACAAATATCCGAAAATGTAGATGTATTTTTTTTGATAGCGGAATTTGACCTACGTCAATGAGTGGAGTGCTTTTTCTTGTTAACTATTACAGCGTGTAATGCATTAAAACCCACTCTTCGAACTCTCTTTCACTTGCTTACATGGCGTCTTATTTATCTTACCATTGCAACGAAGGAAGCATGACATGCAATGCGTGCAGTCTCGCTCCCTCCGAGCCCGCGGTCATTGCTTGAATATCAGCAAGTGTTCACAGCGAGAACACAGTTAATCCTATGAACACAACATGTGTGTGTATGTGTAATTGCAGAGCCTACTGAGTCGAGCTTTTGAAATGCATTCGTTTAGCTTCTATTTCAATAATAACATCTACAACCTCCAGTTTTTGATAAAGCTGAAGTTGTTTGCACTATATGCAAACGTGGTTACATAGAGGAGTGTTGATAAAGTAAATTTTACGCATGCAATTAAGACTGCCCAGGCTTTGTCTATATATAGTAATGCTCAATAGATTTAATTATCATTCACGCGAAATTTTGTTTAAGTTAAATAGGCAACATGACTAACCGATGTTAAAATGTAATCATGTTACTGAAGAAAGAGGAGAGACCAATATTTATTGGATATACCATTAGTTTTCGTTGTTCAAATTGTATCTAATGTTTAGGCACTTTGCCCAATGTTACCCGACCAAACTAATTTTTTTATACATTTTTTGGGATGGCTAAGGAACATCTTAGTCATCTAAATTTTATTTTATGTAACAAAAAGGATATTTTTGGAATGTCTTTTGTTGCCCTCTTTTCAGATCTTTTAATAGGAGGCGCGTGCCCACACGCTTCCTGAGTCAATTGGGAGAGCGATTGATCGTGTCTGCACATGTCAGACATTGGTTCGACACGGTTTCATTAAATTCTCCCGCATTCTTCAAATTTTGTATTCGCAAACGATTGTTTTCTTTGAAAACCAAAGTTGTTATTTTCGTTTCGAAAACAGTATCAACGAACAACGCACAGTTAGATTTGACTGCGCGCAAATTTTTGAGCATTCCAAGTAGCAAAATGCGACTCACGTTCGCTTCTCTACGAGAAAAGCGCGCGACTCTTGGGCTTATATGAGCAACTGATTCACGGGACTGTAATGGGCGATTTTCATCGCGTTTATTGGGCAAACTATTACCATATGCTGTATTGCACTCTGAGATTCAACCATCCTCGTCATACCAGCATGGAGCAGCTTGAATGGCGCCAAACAAAAACGGTCTTTAGTGAAAGGAATTTGCTCCATTAATGAATGAAACAAATGCCTGCCGTTGTATCCAAATTTGTTCGTCGATTAAATACCATGTACTAAAGCGGTCATCTTTCATCGCATCTTGAACGCAGCTTGCGTTACATTGTTACTTTATTTTCGCATGCAGGAGAGAGTCGTCATCATTAAAATGATGAAAACGCGATCCCTTCATCTATATCTTGAATTTCGCTAGATAAAATTTATGCATTGGTGCACAATCGGGAGAACTCGAGAGCAAATCAGCGCAACCCCAACACCAAAGGTCGAGAGGGTTTGCACCTGCTCGATGGTAAAACTTTCACCAGTGATGGCTCGAAACAAACTGGATGAATTAAATTACAAACGATATCGTTTTTTGTTGTTGTTTATTTTCAATGCTTTATCGAGAGATTCTCTTGAAACATTTTCGTATCTGCAGCGTTGACGTCAAAAACGAACGTAAAATGTTCATGTTTGAACTCTGCTTGTAGCATTTGGCATGCATACTGGCACAGCTTAGGTCATCCTGCTTAGTTGTTTTTTTTTGTACAATTTTATCTCATCGAAAGATTGTCTTATTATGGGTTTTTATTTTCACAACTAACGTCGCTTGTGATTGTAGACCATTTGCATTTGACCTATGTAAGCAACTGATTGCTTTTTTTTGTCCAATAAATATTTCAAACAGACACCGAACGAACGCAATCGAATTCAGAAAAAACTCAGAAAAGCTCCTCTCGTCCAAATGAGGTTGTTCGTCGTCGACGAAAGAGAGATGCGATATTTCAAGGGACCAGATCGTACCCGAGATACCTCGAAACCATGGTTACCGTTGATAAGTCCATGGTGGACCATTACGGAAGCGAGTTTGAAGTCAAGAGATACATTCAGACAATCATGAATGTGGTGAGTCATTGCCTTAAGTAATGTTATATGTTATAGTAATGTATTAGGAGAGGAAATTAAATGAGATTCAAATTTATGCCCCTTGTCTTCACCAGGGGGCTTTTGGCTTCGTAATTGTGTATTGTTGACCGAGGTTTGCAATAGGAGAAAAACTGATTTTAATAACTTTATTAATGCTTCTTCCCGTTAGTTTGAACCGTTGCCTATAGGCATTCATCACTGTCCATGAATATCTATCTCTTAATAAGTAATTGCCCTTTTTTTCTCCAACAATGCGAATATTTTTGTGTTCGGTTACTGGAAGTACAATGAATTGAATTCATTTTCAAAAGAAATGTAGTGAAAGATCGAGCTTGCTTCGTCATCGCACGTTACTACAAACTTATAGCAACGCGCAGTTTCGTTGACGCAAGATTGCTACAATAGAAAAGTTAACTTTCACTAAGGGGGAGTTTACATGAATCTGGAATGAGTTTCGATCCCGAATGAACTCATTCCACTTTAAAAGAAATCCTATTGCATGTTTACATGAATCCGGAATGAGTCACAACTCGATCCGGATCGAGTTCATTCCTAGTTTCATTCCGGATCGAAATTTACTTTTTATCTCATGTAAACGCGAATTGAGTTTCATTCTGAAATGATATTGTGATTAATTTCGCATGTGCCATGGGTATTGTCTTCTGGCAAATTGAAGCTCGTAAGTAAATAAAGAGGCTAAATGGGTTAAAATGAGTGCGAAGAAAAACAACAATTAGTTTCATGTAAACACGGATTGACATCACGTTTCGATCGGGATTGAAAGTCATTCCGGATTCATGTAAACACCCCCTAACTGCTGCACCTCATTTGTGTTGAACTGGTTATCAACGTCCATCATTAGTCATCTTTTATTTATCTAGAGTACCTGTTCTCTACCATTTTTTCTTTATTTAACTCAATTCTAAAAGTTCACTATTCCTTTTTCCAAGGTTCATAATATGTTTCGCGATGTAAACATCGGCAACTCCATCGATGTCGTCTTGACAGGGATCAAGATTTTAAAAAACGAAGAAGTACTCCTAAATTGACTGTATTTCTAATCTGATGAATGTGCGGCCTCTATACGTCACCTGTTGCATCTCTGTTTACAGGATTTGAGAATAACGAACGACGCGAACAAGTTATTGAGAAATTTTTGCGCATGGCAACACAAACAGAATGTCATTTCTGACTCGGAGGCGGGTCATTATGATACAGCCATCTTGATTACCAGGTAGTCGACTAGTTCAATCGAGTTAAAATTCAAACTGTGAGCTTGGTTGTTGTGTCGTGCCCAGGCTACTGCCGAACAAGTGACGTCATCTCGAATCATAACTTCTTGCCTCTTACAACATTTTAGGAAAGACATTTGCAAAACTAAAGGACATTGCGACACGCTTGGTAGGTTTGCACGATGGAAGAAGTTTGCTGTACGCTATTTTAGCGGCGCATTTTCTTGTTTTGTGCACGAGGGGAAAATTCTTCAAAAACTTCGATGGGTAGAAAAGAAATAAGAACATCATGGATTAGTCGTTTAACGTAAATATGTTACCAATGCAATTTTTTTAAAAATAGGTACATGTAAGTTTTTCAATCCTTAAAAAAATTTAAAGGTTGTTTTCAGGTTTTTCGTCTGCTGTTACTGATTTTAGCACTGTTAAAACACATTTTACTCCTTTGCAGCTGATATTTCCCCAATACACATTTTTTGTTCTCTGCTGTAATCAACCAATCAAATCACCTTGCCATCTTCTGTTATATTATTAAATAAAACAAATAAAGCCGAGCATTGTCCTATCTCAAGCAAGTGGTTTATAAGTTTTGTTCTATCATAGCCTCTGGCATCTGAAGTGTGGCATGTCTCTTCCTTTAGGACTTGCTGAATTGGGAACGGTGTGTGAGCCCTCTCGAAGTTGCTCCATCATAGAAGATAGTGGCTTGGCAACATCTTTTACTGTTGCTCATGAGCTGGGTCACGTGTAAGTTTGTTTTTTCAATATATATACCCTCACTGCGCAGAAGCACTTCGGCCATTTAGTTTTTTATTGTATGTATGAGCGGATCCAGCATTCGTCAAAATCAATTCTAGCTGCTCAATTTTAAATTCAAAGTATTTTCACAGGAACGCAATTTTCACAGTATTTGCAAGAGGCCACTGCGCGCAATTCTTAAAAAGCGCGCTGGCCTGCCATGTATAGATATGCATGTTTTGTAATCATCAAACAGACACATAGTAAACATTCTCTTTCATAGTAATTTTGCTATTTTGATGCAAAGTTAGGAGGTACTTCCCATCTTTTATAAAGAGCGAGGGGTGCCTAAGCTCCTCTGTCCCCCTCCCCTCTCCGCAGCCTCTGAGCTTGCGCCTCCTTGGTCTGCATTGTTGCGTTTAACAGTGGATATTGATTTGTTTTTGGAAACGAATGCTTTCGATGGTCCTAAAGTTCCAGCATTATAGGCTACCTAGTCTTTACTTGTCTTCTTTTGTTCAGTTTCAATTTAGGCCACGATACTCCGACAAAGAACTGCCAAGGGGAAGTAGGTGGAATGCACGTTATGGCGCCATCCATGAATCTTCAAGCTCTCCCATGGACTTGGTCCTCTTGTAGCAGACACGAAATCACCGAATTTTTGGAGTAAGTGTTCAGACATAGTTCTCATTTTGTCCGGAAGTTCTTCCTGAAGGTGTAAGAATTTAAAAAATACAATGGCATTCTGAGAATGCTATCATCAGTTTGAAATTCTTCAGTAATCCAGATGACAACTGTTTATTATTCCAATGATTTGCTTGGAATATCAAAGCAAAATTTATGACGATCCGTCTTACTTTCGTTTTGTCGTGTTTTCATCTTTATCAATCCTGGTTGAAATTGATTTGAACTGTACTGGATATCTAAAAAGGTCGGGTAATAATGCTTTCTAGTGAAAATGGAATTAGTTTGGTTTTTTGTTTTGTCTTTAGATATAGTAAATTAAGGATCATTACAAAGAAAAATGTCAAGAAAGACAAATGACAACTGCAGTGGTGTAGAAAAACTCCTTAATTGGGGAGGGGGAGGGGCACAAATTCGTATATGCATGTCTTATTTTCAAAAGAATTTAATACGGCAGAACATGAAGATGTGCCTCCCATGATTAACTAGTTTGCTGCTTGACAACTGATTTAGGACTTGTTCTATATGATATATTTTATTATGCGGCAAACGATTTTGACAAATCGTGCAACTTGATTGGATGGCAATATTTTTGAGGGCTTCAAAAATCTCTGAAAAGGGACGATTTCAACTAAGTTTGAAAAAGTTACCATCCAATGAATAACGCTATCCAGGATCCAGGATTCTTTGTGGTCGCTTCGTATTGTTTTCTGCAGTGAAACTGATAATAATATTTGTGTGAATCAGATTTTTATGAAATATTTTGAACATTGTGCCATTTCAGAGGCGGCCATGACAGTTGTTTAATGGACAAACCACAATATCAATTCAAGTTTTCCGAACAACTGCCAGGAGAGGTCTATAGTCCAACAATGCAATGTAAATTGGTGTATGGAAAGGATTCGTCGCTGTGTACTTTTCAGGTAACCAAATCGTCATGTGGTGGATCGAAATTTGTATTCACAGTCAAACGTTCTCATTTCAACAAATCTTCTCGTTCCAGACCAATAAGTGTCGTCGTCTTTGGTGTACAGTAAAGGTTTTTCGAAATATAGAAGGATGCAAATCTCAGTCGATGCCCTGGGCGGATGGCAGTTCCTGTGGTCAAGGAAAGGTGGGTCTAAATTTTATCCACAAATGGATTGCTAATTGATGAAATAATTATTGGAATTGCTTTCTTTCTTTCGCCGGCGTGTTTTTGTTCTCCGTACCTAAAGTATTTGAAGTCCACTGAAAAATGCTCGCTTTTATAAACGTTAGAATGTAACAAGCAGAAGAAACGCTGATTTTTTTTAATATCAAAGAATCTATTGCAGAGCACTCATGCTAAACCAACAAAATTTTGGGATCATAGCATTCAAGAAAATTCAATTAGAATATACGAATTCGCACATACATCGACTGAAGGCAATCATGTCCAATTCTTTTCCTCAAGAGCGTATCTCACATTAGATAGATGAAATTTCACACTAGGAGAACTTTCACAATAGGGTTTTATGTTTACGCGGTATACTGACACCAAAATATATTGTTGCTGAATCGAAACTGCTATGAGCAATGTATTGTACAGGCCACGTGAGCTGTACGACAACGATATGCGCATGCGTATAATATCCTGCCACAATTTGGGAATGACATGAGCGAAAAATAAGCAATCCTATCAATGGGGCTTCTATTTATGAGAACTCCAAGCGTGACCGCATTTTCTCTCTTGCAACCATTTAGTGGTGTATTCATGGCGAATGCGTAGAGAAACGAACGAAGACGGTGATTAACGGGAACTGGTCGCCATGGTCACCATTTGGTCCTTGCTCCCGTACCTGTGGTGGTGGTGTGACGTTTTCATCGCGCTCGTGTAACAACCCAAGGTAAACGAAAGTCTTCTATGCATGTATTATCCTTCGCACTCTTCCTGTGTTTGACAAGACTTAGTGGTTTAATCTATCGTGGCTTTTTTGAACAGTTCCAAAAGCGTTCCCGCTCCATTATACTAGCCTAGATCGGTATGTTGGTTAGGGCCGGTCTATGCCCGTGAATTTGATTAAGCTGCATTTTTTCACAATCCAGAAGCATTTAACAAACGATGTACATGAAACCTGTTTTAAGTGTACACATTCGCGAAATTAAACGGATTATTTCCACTAAATGGAAATGGCTGCTTGATAGAGGTTTTATGATTACTTATCAGCTATAAGAGATTAGAGTTGGGACCTCACAAAATTTCCGCTTAATACAGGATGTCTGCTATGGTGTTCTATAAGTTATGTGAAATTGTCAAATGGTGTTTCTTTTTGGTCAATTTAAAACAATCTTTGTGTTGCCATCCGGAGCAAGGTGTACTGTTTTGTTGTCGACCACACTTATCCACAAATGAATGAGATGAAGAAATACACAATTTGCGAAAATTTCTTCTTCAGGCCTTCAAACGGTGGTAAATTCTGCTTTGGTGCCAAAACACGATTCAAGTCATGCAACACGAAGGTAAATTCTCATGAGACATTTTAAATACACGACAAGTTTTTGCTAAAGAAGCAAACAAACATTGGGAGTTTATTATGATTGCGATATTTTCTTGAAGGATTGTCCCAAAGGCAGCGCAAGTTTCAGAGCCGTGCAATGTGCAAAATACAATAACAGAAGGGGACCGCCGGGAAGTCAATGGGTACCAAGATACCTTAGGGGTGAGATTTTTATGTATTTGCGACTCTTCGAGTACATGTAACCGGGGGATTGTAGTTTATTTTGTTTTCAAATTAGTGTGTATGTGTATCTGTAATCGGTAAAATACGGTTTGTTGAGTTTTCTTGATTCTATATCGTGTATTCAGAGTATGTATAACTCTTCAACACAGGCAGACATCGATGTCAACTGTTTTGTGAACGCATTGGAGGCGGTGGTGTAATTGTCACACCGAAAGTTGTCGACGGCACGAAATGCGGGAAAAACGTGTTCGATATTTGCGTGAATGGAATTTGCCGGGTGATTATTTGAATGTATTTAGCAAGGGCTGAAAATTTCGTCAGTCCCTTTGGGTTTCAACTTTTGCATATGTGTTTTTCGCCTAGCTCGCCGGATGTGACAACGTCTTGAATTCGCAAAAGAAAGTCGATGTTTGTGGTGTATGTGGGGGAAGAAACGACACTTGTGAACGAACTTACAACTCTTGGCACAAAAAAGTGAAGTGGGGTAGAATTAATGACTTATTCTTAAACTGTATTGACATACCACACTGTAGTATTTGGCCGTAGTCGGGGGGGGGGGTCATGTTCATATATGCATGACATGCCGTATCTAGCCTGCGTGCAATCTCTAAGGGAGAGAGAAAATTAGGGCGGGAGAACGTAGAGACTGCGAATCGGAAGCTGAAATGCTTGTTCCAGTCACGTGGATTTCCCTGGAAAAGCGGGGAAAGACGCTGATTGGCTATTTGGTAATAATTTATATATTACACATAAATTAATACTTTGGCGAGCAAGATAGCGTCGATCGATGTTGCGATATTGAAAGTAGAAGAATTTGAAAGCGCTACGGATACAATACTTTACTTTTTTAAAATGGAAAAGCTTCACCAAGAGCAGCTGAAATGCATAAAAGCTTGTGTATTTTAGTGCAGGGACGGGATACGATAAATTTGGAATAATTAGTAATATTTTAATATAATTAAAGAGACTGCACGCAGGCTCAACCGTATAAAACTCCGTTGAAATCTATTGTTTTTTACGGATTATAAAATGCATATACGAATTTGAGCTCCCCGGGTCAATTTTAACATTGCACAAGATTGATAAATATTCATGTTGCTACTATCATCAATATAGAGGACTGACTACTCTATAGAATTTCAAGGATCTTCTTGTATACGTAGGGTACAATGACGTCACGACGTTTCCTTCTGGAATATCATCCGTGAAAATAGAGCTGAGAACACCGAAATTTCAGGGAGAATGGGACCGCACATCTAATAGAACACGTGGAAAACTTGATGATTATAATTATTTAGGTAAGAGTGTGTTGAAATTATGACAAGTATTAATTATACAGTGATGATGTAATCTTAATTGATTGTGATTGGCTAACAGCCAACAGATGATATTATTATTACTATTATTACTATTATTGTTATTATCACTATCATCATCATTATTATTATTATTATTATTATTATTATTTTTTTATTATTATTATTATTATTATTATTATTATTATTATTATTATTATTAAAGATTGTTATATGCAGTGCGGTGTTTGAAACTAAATGAAGATATGATCTTCGCACTTTGCTGGACAATTTAAGCAATTGTCTCATGAACCTGAAAAATTCAGGTGACTCAACGGGATCTCAACAGCAAAGTGCGAAGATCATATCTTCATTTAATTATTATTATTGTTATTATAATTATTATTATCATTAGTATTTCTATTACTGTTATGTTAGCATTATTGGATGAAAAGTACAGAAACATACTGAACGGTGGTTATCACGTAAAAGGAAAGTCAGCGAACATTTTCCATATTTCTGGGCTGAAAATTACTTACTCTGGTGCAGAAACATATCCCGAGTATATCATCATCGAAGGAAAACTGCAACAGAAAATTCGTTTGCAGGTATTGTGAATGAACTGAACTTGTGTAAACTGATTCTGAAACATCAATTCATACACTGTTAAAAAAACCAAGTTTTAAGTTGAAAACGAAGTATCGCTTAAAATATCTAATTCCAAACAAGGCACAATACAATTTATTTTTTGGTTAATTAAACTGCGCAAACTTTAAATTACCGTAACCTCTGCCCAAGAGTTCAAATAACTACATCGAGCTAGAGTTATTTCAACTTTTTAATGGTGAAAGTTTTACCCTTATTGCAATATGGTTTTCTACACTATCGCAATGCCTTATTTTATGCATACAGCTCGGAGGTCTAAACAACGAGAAACGATTGGACTACTTGTTAAAAGCATGATAAAAGCAACATATTATATGTTATAATATAAAATACATGTTAAAAGCAGCAATATGAATATTTATCTGTATGTTTTTTGCTCAGTCATTCTACTTAGCCTCCTCCATGGACGTAACTTTTAACGAGTAGCTCGTTTTTTTCCTCGTCGTGCAGTTCAGCTTCTTTATTAAGCTACACTCCAAAAGCTTGAGAAATTTACATTGTGTAACTTGATACAAAATCCAGGTTTTGGCCATCAAGCGAGTGATCTCTCCGACTATAACATACTCATTCTTGCGGCCTATTGTTAAAAGAAATGTGTTCTATTGGGACAATCGAGGTCCGTGGAGAAAATGCAGCCGACAATGTCAAGGTATGAGCCTCAGAGAGCATAACGGTTGAAAAACGCTGGGCGCACATCTCTCGAAAAACTGTGATGCGCTTTTCTATGTTAAATACTCGATGGAAAAGCGTGCAATTTATGACTGATCCGATTTTTTTCCTACATATTTTACTAAAGCATAGATCCCTCCCCTCCCTTCACCTTGCTCACCCATCTTTGCGCCCCTAATAATATAACTTTCGTTGTATGTTAAGGCAATCGATAAAGTTTTTCCATCTCCCTGTGAACATTATGAAGTTTTAAACATGCTGAATTTTTTTTCTTCAGGGTCGCGTAAGCGAGAGCTTCTTTGTAAACGCGGTGGAGATAACTCGAGCGTCTCTTCAAAATTCTGTAAGGGTATTGAGAAACCAGAAAAGATTGAAGAGGTCTGCAACGGCAATTGTGTCTTCAAGTAAGCTATTTTCTTCATCTCAATTGTAAAATAGCCTTATTATTATAACGGGAGCTCTGAGTTTTTCAATTCTTACATTACCGAGCTTTTTGGTTGGGATGTTAAGCGTGGTTTCATTATCGTAGAAACTCGCTATTTTTGTTAGAAAAAAGTTTAGGAACTGTGCCAGCTGTGTTGCTTGTGTGTCGCTCAGATGAAATTTACTTTAACTGTTGTTGCACGCTCGACTTTTTGAGGTCTTTACGACAGCTGGCAATTACTTCCATTAGCGTAGCCAGCCCGACTTTTTACTCCAGCTATGCAAATCTTTTCGTGATTATTGACCGTAAGAACAATAGATTTCTAAAGAAATGAATAATTGTAGTCCTGCATACTTAAGTTAAAGGCGCGTGTAAATCTGCGGGCTGGCTTCACAACTGATTATTTATCACTAGAAAGGAAACTAAGTCGAAATTTATTTCCATTGCTATCGTGGCCAATATATTGTCTTCATAAAAAACGGTGTATTTTTACTGTAAAAGAGGCAGGGATGGTGAAGAAATATGTTGGTGAGGAATATACGCAAATGTTTCATGACGATGTCATCTTTATACAGGTGGATGATAACAAGTAAAGGTGCATGTAAACCTGGCTGCGGGCCTAGTACTCAGAAGCTGTATTACCGCTGTGTCAAACATTTTGTGTCATCAGGCGCAAATCTTATACATCCAAGTAGAGATTGTGAACGCGTTACGAGACCTCCAAATAGGGAAAAATGCGAAGGATCGTGTGACAATGTCGTATGGGCTTACTCTCGCTGGTCTAAGGTTAGACATTGTTAACTAGTGACGCACGATATGCAAATCTTGTACATCCTCGTTCCCAGGTTCTTTCAATTGAAACACGCGTTTTGTTTTTTTTCAGTGTTCCAAGTCATGTAATGGCGGCATTCAACGACGAAGCGTTGTTTGTTTGGAGAAGAACGCAAAAATCCGTAAAGAACTCCCGGTTGCTATGTGTGCCAGAATTGAAAAACGACCAGAAACGCGCTCTTGCAACACTATGCGCTGTCCAGCATGGCGCGCGGGAGAGTGGAGTAGAGTACGTATGAAGTTTCTTTCTTGAGTTTGTAAGCAATCTGATTGGTGGATATTTTTAGACAAACATTCCATTTTTGTTGTTTGAATGTCCAAGGACACTTTACTTTCAACTACGCATTCCGTAGTTTTTCTCGAATTTTTAGTTCATTTCTTTCCCTGGGTTTGTTGTTAAATCCACTTTAAGATGGCGAAACTGAGAAAACGATTAAAAAGCATTTCAAAATCTCCTTTCAGTGTTCGGCTGCCTGCGGTGAAGGTAATCAACGAAGAAAAGTTCAGTGTGTTATGAATGGCAATAGGCAAACTTCACCCGAGCGATGCGATTCACGGAGAAAACCAAGTGACGAAAGAAGTTGCCGTATTAAAGCATGTCCTCATTGGGAGTACGAGGAATGGTCGGATGTAAGCTATGTTTTTTTTTGTCTTTTTCATAAAGTTTCTGAATTGCCAAGTGGTCACAGCTAGACTTTCAAGTTCGTCTTTTTATGGGTAAAATTAGCAAAGTATTGCTTCACATCTGATGATGGTATATTTTGAATATTTGTAGTCTCGCAGTAGCGGACAAAAAAATGAATTTACTCCCGTCTCTTTCACTCCGCGCAATAATTTGTTCAGTTCTCTTCATTTTCCCCTCATTTTTCAAAACGAAATACTTCATATCCTCGCATGCGCAGCATTTCTTCCATTGTTTCTCATCATCTGCTCGAAATGTTTCATCGACAGATCCTAAAATGCTTGCTGCTTTCTTTCATAAAAGTCATTTTATGTCTTCCAGTGTTCTGCCACGTGCGGTTCGGGGCATCAAGTCCGTCTTGTTCGATGTACAAACAGTGATCGCGAAATGTTGAACGAGATAGAATGCCAAGGAAAAGACAAACCGCCGTCAAGACGAGCCTGCGATGGATTACCGCAATGCAACCTGACACTATTCTATTTGAAAAAGGTCGCTGACCGTGGGCGTTTTAGATGGAAAACTGAAGCCTGGGGAAAGGTAAGTTGATGCTCATAGACACAAAAATGTCTTATTGTTTTCTCAAAATGGACATGATGCTGCACTTTTAGCATATTTAAGCATATGACGTCTTAGTGGTTATTGAAATAAGAATAGGACATATATTATCTTTGCCTTTCGAATTTGTATAAGCCCACAATTCAAAGGTTTTGTGCCTATTAATCATGCCGTGATTCTTAATACAGTGCTCAGCGACATGTGGTGAAGGTCTCCAAAAACGGAATGTCACGTGTGTCGATTCACGTGACGTAATCACGAGTAATGAGTCCTGTGCAAACAAGAAGAAACCAGAGACGGCCCGAATTTGCACGAGTCACTGTGGGAGATGGAAACAAAGTCGTTGGTCTAAAGTAAGTGGAAACCTTTTCCCAATTATCTTTTCAAAACGTCAAAAGGTTTTAATTCGGTGGTACCGGCTAATTTCAGAGAAATACCGAGTGTCTTTATTTTTCAATTACGTTCAACTCTGTATTCTGTATATTTTTACGTACCGTAGTGTTCGTCGATGTGTGGAAAAGGATTTCAAACCAGAAACGTTAGCTGTGCCGATGTTAATGACGAACCACTCGGCGATATCATGTGCAGTTCCAACACAAAACCGAAAATGATTCGAGAATGTCTCGAGTATTGTGGAATTTGGCGTCATTCTAGATGGACTAAGGTTAGGCCTGGTAACTAATATCGGATAAAGTCGAGGAAAGCTCATTCATGGAGTCATAGATTGATTTTCCGGGCACCAAACGAAAAACTCGTGCAATAAATTTAAAAAGATTACAATTGTTATCCAATTATAATTTTAAAATTCAAGGCGACGGATGTTTTTTGTATTTTTTAGTGCTCTTCAAATTGTGGAAGAGGAACACAAAGACGACAAGTAAAATGTTTCAATAGAAAATTCAGAGCGATCGATGACGAATCCTGTGATCCATTGTTAAGACCATCTAATATTAGGCAATGTTCGAACTATCTCTGTAGGCCTGCAATAAAACAAAAGCCGATTGTGAACCGGCGTTGGAAGACTGGAACTTGGACCAAGGTATTTGAGGTTTGATCTTCCAGTGTGTGCGTGGCTTATCAAATGATGTTCGAGAGTGAATCTTTGTTTGTATGCTTCAGTCTTGTGTCTTGCGAGTGATCAGAAGCTAAAGTTTGAGTTCTCAAATGCTCCGGTCTCTTTTCCGGTCTTAGGAGTCCCAGTGTTGAAACCTAAATGCTCCATAAGTTCCCGCGGTGTACACGAAGGATTTAGAACTCAAACATATTCCAGTCTTATTTCTATATCAGTATAATTTCGTTAAAATTATTCTTAAGTCTCGGTTCTATATGTATACTGCTCAAGGTGCTTATTATCCACTTAGGTGCTAATTGATTTTAAAATTTGAGTTCGTCAACTTCGTCAATATATACAAAAATCAAATCAATTTAGTGCTCACGAAGCTGTGGACGTGGCTTCAGGCGTCGTTCTGTTCAATGTTTCGATGGCTTATCCGGCAAAAAGCTTCGCGAGCAATACTGTAATAAAAAAACAAAACCGCAGTCGATGAATCGCTGCAGTTTGGGAACTTGTCCAATATGGAGAGTGAGCCAATGGAGTAAGGTGAGAAGATATATTTCGGTGTGTTGTAAACCAAGCGTCTTTAAGATTGAGAAATCAATGTATTTATCTCCAGTGCTCAAAAACATGTGGAACTGGCTCAAAACAAAGACGCGTATCGTGTATTTACGGAATTTCCAGAGCGAATCATTCGTTGAAAACCAATTGTGACGAAAGCATAAAACCACCAATGGTAATGAGTTGCTCCACAAACGATTGTCCTAAGTGGCGGACGAGTCAATGGACAAAGGTGACAATATAATAGCTTATTTTTGAAAATTGGGTTAGCCTAGGCATTTTCTTTTTCTTTTCGTTTCGATCGATTCATCGTCCAGATGGGATTGAATAAAGGTTTGAAAACTGCATTACTGATGGCCAGCTGTTGGCTTAGGTTTTTATTTACTTAGTGGAAAGAAGGTAGACCAGAGGTCATCCCAAGTTTTGGGAGTTTTGGGGAGTTTTTCAAATTAAGCTTTGGATAAAATATGTGATTATCTCCAAAATTAAAAAAGGCTAAAACATTCCGCATTTAATTGTAAAGCAAACTGAAGAAACTATTAAAGCTTTAATGTTAAAATGTAATTTTAGTAATTAAGAGTTTAAGTTGTTGGTCCTTCAGGCAAATTTAAAATCCACGAGTTTGATTTTGTTTTCATGATTTTTTTGGAAACCTTTTTGTTCGAACTGTGTTCTCAAAATGATGGAAGAGCCATTGCAGAAACCTGAAAACTTCCGCGCCCACCCCCTACAAAATACATAAACCTCGGACCTCAACCTCGAAAAACGTTGGACTTAGAAGATGGGACATTCTAGATGTTTCTAGCGTAAACACTGTGGTAGACTCAGAGCTTTAATTAAATATTTGTTATTCCCTTCAAGTGCTCAAAAACCTGTGGTCTAGGAGCCGTTCTTAGACGGGTCTATTGCTCCAACTCGACTCACATCATGCCCGACAGATATTGCTACAGAAAACTTCGACCATCTTCCATGAAAACATGCTACACTAAAAGCTGTCGACCAATGGTGCGTTGGGCAAAAAGCAAATGGCATCCTGTAAGTTGAGATTTTTGGTTGACATAAATATCCAGTTAGCAAATTGTTTGAGAAATTCGTGCAGACAGTACTTGCAGTATGGTTTTCTCGGAATAAAATGGTAATTAAAGACTCGTTATCCGAACAAAAAAGCATAGCATCTTAAGATAAGATAGGGTAGCTGTGTTTAAAACGCTTTCGACTTAAAAAAGCAAATGTGTCATCAAAATATTTTAGACTTATAAGTACAGAAACTAAGTATAGACCTTTTTTATTATGCAACATTTGATGATTTCTTTGTTTCAATCTAGTGCTCTGTACAATGCGGTGAAGGTTTGAAAAAGCGAGAAGTCTGGTGCCAAGACTTTTATGGTAGGAAAGTGCCTTCTATAAGATGCCGCAATTTACGACGCAAACCTCGCTCGCAAAAGCCTTGCAGGAGACGTTCGTGCGGAATTTGGGAGACGGGCATTTGGGGAAAGGTAATTCTTTACTGTTTGTCTCAGAATAAATTGAAAATAAAAGGTTTGATATCATAGCGTGTCAACTAACTTCAATATATTTCATTTTAAAGTGTTCAAAAATGTGTGGATTGGGTATCAGTGAACGAGACGTGCGTTGTCGAAGAGACACTTTATTCTTGGATGAAAGGTTCTGCTCAAACAGAGAGAAACCAAGAAATAAAAGATCTTGCATGATCAAAGAATGCCATTCACGAAACACAAGTTATAAATGGTTTGCGTTCTCGTTCAGCCCGGTTAGTAAAGGCATTAAAACACAAATGGCTTTCTTTACGTTTTAAAAAAATGTGTCGTTTTGCATTCATGTTTTGCCAGAAAGGGAACCTTTAAAACATCAACTTTTGTCAGTTGACCTTTGAGAGATATTTTATAATGGTTTAAGCGTATAATGTTTTCGATAAAAGACCATAAGAAAGGCTGTGCACCGATGTTCTTAATGTACTTGCTGCATTGTCACGTGTCAGTGATGAGTTAGATATCACAAATCAATCTCATGGAATAGGCTCTAATAAGAATAGGTTTTGTGAAGCAATGGTGATAGCTATGAATAATTTCCTACCTTCGCATCTTTATAGTGTTCAAAAACATGTGACGCTGGAGTACAATCTCGTATGATCGTGTGCGTCGATCAGAGCAAGAAACAGGCTCCCAGTGAGCTCTGCGACCCCCACGATAAGCCTGCACAGATGAGGGCGTGTCGAAACGTAAACTGCGCCCCCAAGTGGATTGTTGGCCAGTGGTCTGAGGTATTAAGATAGAACCATAAACATATTGAGCATCACACAAGCGGTTGCTTAAATTGTCATTATTGTTGCGTTTTTTTTTGAAGTGCACCAAGTCATGTGGTGATGGCCGGCAATCTAGAGTGATTACATGTCCAGAGAAAGATCGGAACTCCAATGATCTATGCGATTCATCACAAAGACCGCCAACTGAGAGACGCTGTAATCGTGGATCTTGTGATAGCTTTTATGTTTGGAAAACTGGCCCCTGGTCCCAGGTAGGAGACCTTAATTCAAGGAACTTTAGTAGAGAACTTTAATTCTGTTAAACAGAGTGCCCCCCCCCCCAAAGAAAAAGCGGAACCCGCATAAATAATTATGAATTCACTGAAACGATTATGCACAATAATATCACAGTATAGAAACATACAGTAGTCTCACTCTGTAGAATTTTTTGTGCAGCGCATATCTTATTACGCATGTGATTAGCACAGTGGCAGCCAGTAAATTGCATTTTCTGATTAATAGGAGCGCCTAGGTGGCTAGCTGCACCAGTAATCTAATTAAATATACAGCAGCAAGTTGCACAAAGGAGTGAGATTACTGTATGTTTCTATATTGTGATAATATCGCTAGCATTCAGAAAAGGTTAATGAACATGACAGTTGAGCATTAATTAGGGCGGGGGGGGTATATTCATTTATTCAGTTCTGCCCTACTGATTTCTTTTGAAATTCATTTCATTTTCAAAAGAAATCAGTAGGGCACAACGCAATTTATGAATATGCACCCCTCCCCCCCCACCAACCAACGTTTTACTTTTAATGCATACATAATTATTTGTGCAGCTTCCTTTTTTTTCTGGGACACCTTCTACAGAGGAAAAAACATCTATTATAGTTGGTTAATGGAGAGTTCGTTTCCAATTAAAGTGTATGATAGAAAGTTTTATGTCCTACGAAAAGGCTGTACATAGTGAACATAATGATTTTTCTACTTGCTTAACATGCATTCTTGCCTGACGATTGAGCAATCCCCTCCCCCCTAAACTGTATGTTCGTGTTACTGTATCCTCTGTGTTAGAAAATGGAAAGTCAAACTCTTAAGTGAAATACATTTGTGATCTATCCAAGTACTTTTGCAAGTTGTTAAAAAATGGAAAATAAAGGAATGATTTAAAATGGGACAACTGGGAGAGCCGTGGTTATAAAAGCACTATCCCGTACTAAAGGTCTACGCATCCTCAAAGAAAACTTGATTTCTTTTTGTTTTATTATCAGTGTTCTTCCACCTGTGGCGAAGCGTACATGAGAAGAGCCGTGAAATGTCTGGGACGAAACAACCAAAAAAGCACAGATGAAAGATGTAGGAAATCCTGGACAGTGAAACCCGAAGATACACGAAAATGTTTCTTGCCGAAATGTAAGAAGAATGAAACTTTGCTTACTTTTGTCATTTCCGAGCAAAAAGTTTCACATTCAGTCATTAAGCAAGAAAAAGGATTTATGAATGATTATACAATTCGTTACATGAAGTAATAATATCATTTTCGACTTTATGTCACCAGGTGCTCCAAGATCGTGTAGGGATGTTCAGATACAACAGGGAAAACAGGATGATGCTGAATTTAACATCACAATCAACTCCAAAAGAATTCAGGTACATAAAACAAATCGAACGAGAATGATTCTCTTAAACTATTCAGGGTTATTCTTCATCCCATAGCAGGGGGTACAAAGCTTGACCCAGTGTTTTCATCCCGTCATGTAAAGAATCCATACTCGATCTGCACTCCCATTGATTTACGTAATCTCTTACTACGAAATTATTGATGTTTTTGCGACAATCTTTTCAAGGTGTATTGCTATGGAATGTTAACTGATAATCCAAAAGAGTTCATCACGCTGCGATCGGGACCTCGGCATAATTTTGCCGAATATTACCATCGAAGGTAGGGTCGGTCTACCTTCGTTCTTATTCATCTTCATGTTGAAATATACCCTTTTCATTTCTTGAGTACACTCAATGCACACGTCGAAAACAATCTTTCTGCACGTTGAAACAATTTCATTCGATTGAAAAGGACGGTTTCAATGAATGGAAAGCATAATCAATTTATGGATAGAGTATATTCAATGAAAATAAAGGGTGAACTTGACACAAAATGCTTCGAATGCACTTTTTATTTTCATTAAATGTACTAGCTATTTGCTTGAATATTGAGTCTTTATTGAAATCATTCTTCTGCTTTGCTATCTCCATCATAAAAGTATCGCTTTTAAAACTTGAACTTCCTTTTTCAAACAACTGAAAGGTTATTTTTGTGGACTTCGTTGAGCACCGCTCTCTTCAAATCTCGTTTCACATATGTTTCAGTTTGAGAAATCCTGCTAAATGTCCCTATAATGGCGCCAGACGAGATGACTGCCCTCATTGTGTTCCTGGTTTGCTTGATGAGTCGGGAGGAACATATTTTTCAAAGGTTCGCCTCGATCTCCGTCGAATGTCAGTCATTGGTAAGTAGTCTTTTGTGACAAATAACAGATGACAAGTGATGTACTTTTTCAATCATATGTTGTTTGAGGCATTTTGAGCACAAGTTATGAGGAGGCATGGCGCAGGAATACTTGTAGCCATGAAAGGACTTTACTTTTATTTCTCTCAGGTAAGGATTTCACCTTTGCTGTGAAGCGTGGCAAACGTGCGCCAAACTATGGCACGGCTGGTGATTGTTACAGCAAATCTCAGTGTCCTCAGGTTCGTGTATTTTTCGTTTGATTTGCGGCGTTACAGGTTGGCGTCATCTTTAAATGAATCATCGCACATTTCATTTCCATGTTTATCGACTTGTTAATGCCCCGTTCAGCTTTCTTGCGTAAGAACTCGTGCGCAAATTTTGTTTTTGAGACAGTTGAAAGTGCAAACATTATATTGAATAAACTAAACTTCGTTATATTTGAAATCCATTTTCGGTTATGGCAAGTGGTTTTCGAAGATTCTTTTGTAATATAAAATTCGTGTATGATTTCAAGCGTCTCTGATAAAAGATTTTTGACTCCCCCAATCATTTTATTTCATAACAATCTTGTATTAGAGAAATTTAGCAAACACGACGTATCGCCTTGAAAATAACGTAACATATTGACGTTGATATATATGTATATAGACGAGCGAACGTCTGCCACAATAAATTGTCGGGAATGGAATATTTGCGCCGTCACCTATTTTGCTTTTGTCATTCAGTTTCCGACATAAATCGTCCCTATGCCCTATTCCGATTTTTTTGGAATTTTCTATCGCCCATTTTGAGACAAAATTTTACCTGTGCCGTTTGGTGGATATTTCGATTGCGTTTTGTTACTTTCATGGCGACGCATATTAGCTTCAGTCGGATGATGGTGTCGTTCGTCTTCATTGACGACCATTTATATAGCAAATTTTGTTTGGTGCGCGAGAAATTTTGGCTGGTGGAAATGGGGTCTCGTGTGCGCGAGCTGCCTTGAGACGATGTCAAAATACAATCTAGTGTCAGAATCTTCGTCAGCATTGAAAAACGACAGGGCAGGACCGTAAAAGAGCGACTTCAACAAATTATAAAATTGTTTTGATTCGGTCGCGTGAAAAAGTTCTCGTTGAGATACTCAAGCAGCTCCCATATTTCTCAGGGTATAATTGGTACAAGGGGGCACTTTTAAGAAAACTTCATTTTCCTGTTGTTTCTTCGACAAAAATCATTTTATTCATCTTCTTTTTTCTGCTACATCAGGGTCGTTTTAGTATCGACTTAACCAACACTGGTATTTCAATATCACCGGAAGTGACGTGGAAATCATACGGTTACTATTTGTCAAAAGTCATAAGTATCAATAAGGTATTTTTGTATTTCTGGAATTTTTCAATGTATTTTTGTGCGCCACCGCAAACTTTTTGTCTTGTTTAGGGAAGACAAATCGTAACTGGAATGTGCGGCGGTTATTGCGGTGTATGCAGGCCTTTTCAAACTCTAAGAGTTGTTGTCCTATAACACGGGGTAAGATTTCAAAGCTTTATGAGTAGGAAGACCGGAAGTACTTACATTAGTTGTGTGCCAATCATCATGCATTGCTTGCGTTTGTTGATATTCATTTGGGAGTCACTGTATTTTACGCTGACTCCGAAAATTTGACATTTCCGCTTTAACAAGTAACAATAAAATAATTGTAGAATCACATACATATGAAAGTTGCGAATGCAAAGGATTAAGTCACAAAATAATCATGCTGGTTGGTGTTTATAAGAATGACCGATTACGCGCGCATTGCATGATGGTTAGCTAAGCAATCACTCTCTTATTTGCTGCGGATTTCCAGTATAAATTTTTTTATTCTATTGTAGGGTGGTGTTCTTACTTCCCGCCGCAAAAATTATTTCGAATATAATTATATACATAGGCTTTTAAATAGATTATGTAAATAATGTAACATATTTATAAGGCGTTTTTCAATCAGTTGATATTTTAGTTTGTTTATAATTCTTTACGAGTTATGTTTTTACGAGTTACATAACGCATGTGTATTATACTTAGAAAAGCACTTTATTTAATATTTTTCAAGATATATACGTTTTCTTATATATGTAAATGCTGTAACACTAACTAGACGATGTTTCAATTTGAGTAATGGCTAACATGATTTTTGATGTTCTAATTTAACTACTGTCTGTTCAAGTTTATGATAGCAAGTTCTAAGAAATCGATTCCGTAAACAATACGAGCTTTTCTCGCGTGTAGAGCTGTTTTTCTTTTTCAGAAAAAATTTACATTTTTCTCGTCGATCCCACACAATGCGAAAGTCAGCTGCACCAAAATGGCGGCATCAAATTAAACTTTATATGTGAAGCCGAGCTCAACATTGAGCTCTGCTCTTAAAATATGTGAATAAGGATAATAGAAATGATAATAGTACTAAAAATGATAAAAGAAAACTAGTTGCTGTGAAAATATTTTTTTCTTCATGAGAAAAACAATAAACGAAGAAGCGTTTTCAAATAAAAATGAGTTTGCTAAAAAATTTACAAAGCATTAGAAGCCTGATTGACCACATAGTCACAAATTCTCCTGAAAAAATATCTGAATCAGGAGTTATTTACACAGGTATTAGTGACCATGATATGATTTTTGCAATTAGGAAAACTTCCATACCAAAAAGTAAAAACATCATTGAAATAAGAAACATGAAAAACTTTAATGAGAAAAAGTTTCTTGATGAACTCAGGGAGCAACCATGGGATTCTGTATATTTCTTCCCCCATGATACTAATGCTATGTGGGAAATGTGGAAAGGTCTATTCCTTGAGATTTTTGACAAATATGCACCCATTCAAAATAAAAAGATTCGAGGAAAAAATCTTCCATGGATGACAAGGGACATAAAAGAACTGGCTGTGTTACAGGAAAAGCAGTAATAAAGTAAATATTAAACTAAAATACGCAAAAAAAGAGTACTACTCTTCAAAGATTGTTGGTCAAAAACAAAACCCTAAACAGGCCTGGAGAACTTAACAATTTATTGGGAAAACAAAAGAAAGAAACAGTTATAAATAAATTGATTATCAATGACAATACTTTTACAACCTCAGAAAGCATAGCAGAGGGCCTTAATACATATTTTTCTAATATTGGCCCAAAACTTGCTGAAGAAATAGACAACACAAAAACTAATTTTGAAAATTATATAAATACAACTAAATCAGAGTTTGCTGCCTTTCGGCCAACTACTGTCCATAATGTGTACCATCTCATTTGTGGACTTTCGGCAAATAAGGCAACAGGTTGTGATGGAATATCATGTAAAATTTTAAAACTAGTTGCACCTGTCATATCTGAAACATTAACCTATATTTTCAATCAGTGCATAACTTTGTCTGTCTTCCCAGATGAATGGAAAACAGCAAGAATTATACCTCTTTACAAAAATGGACACCGTAACTTGCCTGGAAACTATAGACAAATTTCAATTCTCCCAGTCGTCAGTAAAATCATTGAACGTATACTTTACGATCAACTCTACAACTACTTTTCTAAATCTGAAATCCTAAGTGATTGTCAATTTGGTTTCAGAAAATCACATTCATCAACAACTGCCTTAATTGACTGTACGAATGATTGGTACACAAACATGGATAAAAGGCTGCTCAACCTTGTAGTCCAAATTGATCTAAAACAGGCTTTTGATACTGTTGATCACAAAATTTTATTAAGAAAACTTGAGTTGTATGGAATTAAAGGACAAGCCTACAACCTAATTGAATCCTATCTGTCAAAGCGAACTCAAAGATGCCAAATCAAAAATTTTATTTCATCTCAACAACTCGTCTCCTGTGGAGTTCCCCAGGGCTCTATTTTAGGTCCGTTATTTATCTTAATATATATAAATGACTTACCCTCATGCTTAGAGCAATGTTTGCTGATGATACTAGCATAACTGCTTCAAATAATGATATAGTTGAACTAGAAAAGATAGTAAACTCTGACTTGAATAATCTTGAAAAGTGGTTGATAGCAAACAAACTTAGTTTGAATTCAACCAAGACAGAATATTTGATCATAGGCTCGAAACAAATGATCAAGAATGTTTTTACTTCTAATTTGCATATTGCAATTGGCAATTACGTTATAAAGAGAATTTATGAGTACGAAAGTTTGGGTTTAATAATTGACCAACACTTATCTTGGAGGAGTAACACTGATAAAATTTGCAAAAAAGTAGCAGCCGGTATCTCCGCCCTTAGAAAATTAAAGCAATACACAGACAAACAAACACTTATCTCTATTTATAATGCCCTGGTACATCCTTACTTCACATATTGCTGTGAAGTTTGGGGTGTATTGGGGAAACTCAGTCAAAGACTACAAAACTTCAAAATAGAGCTGCAAAATTATCATAAGCATGGGCATTGATGTCGATTATTGTAACGCATTACAAGAATTGAAGTGGGAACCTCTTGAAATACTTAGAAAAAGCTAAAAGCAAAGCTGATGTTTAAATTATTAAAAAATGCTGGACCAAATTCACTTACTAGACTGTTTACCTATAAAAAAGACATCACTGATTACAATCTACGCAATATTACAAGTTGTTTAAATGTTCCTATGCCTAGTACTAACTCCTTGAAGAAAAGCTTTGCGTATGATGGGGCTTCTGTTTGGAATTCAATTCCAGCAGAAATCAGAAATAGCAAAAGCGTGTCACTTTTTCAAAAGAAAATTGCTGCTTGCATTTTATGATTTAGTTTAACATGTAACTGATGGAATAAACTAAACTCTGTAAATATTTAAACTTCTCTTCTGTAGATAATTTATTTCTTAGTAAATTTTGTAATTGTTTTTGAACAAAAGCACGCCCCTTGTGGAAATCAACCCCAGTTGACAAGGCCAGCGTGTCAAAATAAAGATTTTCATTCATTCATTCATTCAAGACAGTGTCACCTTTGCCAAATTGTGTAAATTTTTACATATTTGGATTTCAAAGTCAGGAGCTAATGTCGGATTTGAATGCTCGTATTCGTTACCAACTTGTTTTTAAATAACCGATATATGAAAATCGACCGTTAGTTCATGTCGATTTCGAGAATATGGGCACTTGAAGTAAAAGCAGGCGAAATTCTCAGAGCAGGCGTTTGCATGTATTTCAACAATATATTTCTTGTATCAAAATGAACTATTTTTCCATAATTTATATAAATGTATTAAATACGTTAACGACCAGAACTAAAAGATGTAATGAAAGTACAGAAAATCGACAATCACATCCTAGACAATTTTATAGTCGTAAGACAATCTTCAAGCAACTAAGTGCCAGCCTTATTGCGTAATCGTTAAAACAACCACGACAAAGCTAAAAGTGACACCTAAACAGCAAAAAATGCGAAAGTTCGAAACGCACAGTTCGAATGAGAATGCTTTTGTATAAATTATAAAAATAATTTGCAAGACTACCTAGCAAGTATATAAGTGTACGTATTTTTACCAAAATTTACCCCCGCCACTAGTAATGAATTTTAATACAATTATTAATTAATGCATGTTATGTCAACCCTGGTGATCAAAATCCTATTCACAAGACATAAACTAACCCGGGTTTAACCCAGGTTAGAATTGATCCGGGTTTTACCCAGGTTTATTTTTTTGCGCGTAAACACCCCTAACCAAGGTTTAACCTAGGTTAAACTCAACCCAACTTTTGATGTGGGTTAAATTTAACCCAGGTTAAACCTTTGTTACTGGTGTTTACACGCAAAAAAATTAACCAGGGTTGAACCCGGGTTAGTTTTTGTCGTGTGAGAAAGGCTCAATAAAGAACTATCGACCCATGTAAAGTAATGAAAGAGGTTTTTGGATTCGTGGTTTACTGTATAGATTCCAGTTTCTCCATTTATTCTATGCTGTTGGACTCGATGCGTCCCAACAAAACCTTAGATTTGTATGTCCAATGAGCAGTTTTAGATCGGCTAATCATAATGAACACGAGATTCTCAAATTCCCAAATAATAAGAAAACAATACCTTGCATGAGTCGATTGTTATGAAAGCCGTCTGCATTTGTCCAAAGAATACAATGAGCCGAAGATATTCACCCTTTCCTGGATTTTTGAAGACAACGTTCTTTTAGAGGTTTTTCTTACAAAAACAAACGATTTCAAACCCATTAGTTTGAACACGAATATATCATCAAAACAAGTGATATTATAAACTGCGAAAAACTTGGGGTGAAAATCTTCGACGGAGCGTCACAATTTCCAGGACAAATGCAATCAACCAAGCTGAATTTATTCATCAACTGAGTTCGGCAGTTCAAGAATTGCTAGTTTGTCCGTCATGAAAAGTTTCATGACTCGAGTTGTTCTTAAGTATATGTTTTTCGGCATCCTTTTCGTTATCTTTTGACATTTCCTTGAACGAGGCCCTTTTTCGTTGTTTAACATCATCTTGACAACATCGCTGTGTACTACAGTCGTTCTGTACGTCATCGCCACAGTCCAGGATACACTCCTCAAGTTCGATATTTTGAGCTAAGGGATCATCGACAAATTCGGGCTGGATAGTTGTCGAATGAATTCCTTCGTTATGAAAAAAAGTCTTCACTTTGTTCGCTAAAGCCATGTAGTCGTCCTTCGAACGACATTTAATGTGTGCGGAAGCTGAAATACGAGTTACGAATCATTGAGAAAATGCTTGTGTCAAATTACACTAATGCGAAAGATTTGTTAACATTAGCGTTTGGTCTACATTATAGTAAACACCACACAAAAAGAAAATTCCACACGAGATAAATTAATATAGGTGCTAAATGTATGAATTCTCGACCAGTCTCATAAAGCCCAATGCAATTGGCCCTATTTTGATGCAATAATCTGGGCCATCTTTAAACTTCTTTACACGAATAGTGTAACTGAGGAGTGGGTGAAACTGATGACGCTACATTTCAATGCTAATTTGAGATTAGGTTTTTGAATTCAAGAGACGATACACCTTTTTCAAAGCATCAGCGATATCATTCTACACACAACACTTAGCAAATTACTCTGTGTTTAACAAACTGGATTCATTCATGTAGAATTCATAAAAAATGTCTCGGGGGAAATTTTATTTGTATTGCGTTGATATGATACATCTGCGCATCATTGCGCATTCCATACGCATATCAACAATGGACGTGGACGTCGGTTCGCGTTACGATCAAATCAGCCAAAATGTTGTTTTACGGAAATCAAAAAAAAAAGCGAAACGCGAATTCTCAAACATTTGTCACAGTGGGAAGTGTTTTTACCCAAGCTATGACGCAAAGAAAATATCTTTCGGCTATTTTCTTGAAAAACAGTAGCACCTACGTAAAACTTTTGCGTAATTAGGGAACGTCCTTGAACTCCTTGTTCATTAGTGGCGCCGATACGATTTACGTATCACCCATACTAATATTTTTGAATTTTACAAATAATGACAAGTCTTGAAAATATTTTTTGGGGGTGGGGTGGGGGGAGGGAGTGTGCAATTGTTGCCGTTGCTAGCGTCAATACTAGTCGTCTAACCTTAACCATAACCTGTTGGGTTGCTTACGCTAAATAAAAAATTTCTTAGAAATATCATCGCAGTGAGAACGAGTGTCGCATGCAGTTGCTTGATCTTCAAACTTTTTCATTAAATATTATGCACATCGTCCCTGTTGAAAATTACCACGACAAAGCATGCGAGAGACTAAGTCTAGATGAGCCTAGAAGACCACAATGTGGCTACAGTGAATGTATATACTGACCGATAATTTTATCTCCAGCAAGTTGCCAAACATGAAATTCGTGTAAGTCTAAAACACCTTCAACCTGTTCGAGCAACCTTTCCTGTATTTCTTGAATCTTGATGTGAGTGGGAACCGTCTGCATCAAGATCAACGCGGACTCCTTTAGCAGCGGCAGTGAAGACCTCATGATGATCACAACCATCACCAAACTCAAGACAGGATCAACGTATAGGGTCCAATCTCCCTTTCCAAATTTGATACACAAAGCACTCGCAATGACGATGACTGAACCAATGGCGTCCCCGAGCACGTGCAGGTACACCGCCCGCATGTTCATTTGTGCACTCATGGTCACCTGACTTTCGTTCAGCGCATGTCTTTCCGGATCCAAGGGTGTGTTGTCTGGAGCATCGAAGGAAGCCTCCTGAACGACCACTACAAAAAAAATAGGTAGATACTAGAACAAAAACTTACGACAAATTTAGATCGAGGCACAGAAAAGTGGTTAATTCAAAAATACTAAAGTTTTTTTTCATGAATAAAATGCAAGCATCTTTTCAACACGGTAGTAATTCACCATCAAGTGGAAAGTACTAGCCTAGTTTCGTGCTCCCTGTTCATGTCGACTGTTATTTCGAAACGTTTATAACGCTTTTATAAAAACTTGACAACTTTCAATGTCGCGAGCTTGATTTCCACGTTATTTCGTACTTTTCATTTTACCTTGGCATTTTTGAATTGTCAATGTTAGCTGTCAGCTGGAAAATTAGTCAACGAGAACAACCAATTTTAACCTCGTTGATTTTGGTTACAGTTAATGACCAAAAAACGGCACGGTTTTCTACAGTAAAGGTACTTACAGTGCCTGAAACTATATTGGAATGTAATGGCAGTAGCCTAGCAAGAGTCGTCCCTAAAACGTTACTTCGGGATTGAGGGGTGTGTTTTTCATACATCAAATTGTGCCAGATTGATTTCCCTTTAAAGCAATTCACTTTTGAAAGAAATCAGTCGGGTACAACTTAACATATAAATTAACACCCTCCAAGTAATGCTCTAGGAGTGGGCTCAAACCCGAAAAGGAAAAACCAGCTGCTCTCCAAACCTGTTGCAAACTTTTGCATTTCCTTGGCATCCTTCAAGAATGAATTACCGAATTCATCTTCACTACTATGATCGAGGTCATTGTTTTCAACAGTTGCTTTGTTGTCAAATATCACCTCTTCATTTTGGGAGACTGTAGCACCATCAACATTGCTTGTTTCACCATGGCTTTTAGTATCTCCATGGTAATGGACATGATCCAATGTTCCTCCATGACCATGAGAATGGCCTGATGTTCCACCATGGGCATGACCATGGGCATGACCATGGGCATGACCATGGCCATGAAACATAAAAAGGCCAATCACATTTACAAATAGACCAATACCACCAACAATAAGGATAAGAAGCGGATTGCTGATCTCCTCAATTTTCACTATACGTTTTAGAGCTTCCACAAAGATCGTAAAACAAAGTGCAATCAAGAAAACAGAATTTATGAGAGCACCCAAGACCTCTGCTCTTTGCCAGCCAAATGTGTTGCGATAAGTGTAATCAGACTTTCTGGAATACCGCAAGGCAAAGAAACCAACTACAAGGGAGATAACATCCGACAGCATGTGAAAGGAGTCAGCTATAAGCGCAACTGAACTAGTGACATAGCCAACTATAATTTCTACCAGAAAGAAACTTCCTGTGAGGACAAGCATCGTGAGAAGGCTACATGTCTTTGTGTTGCGAAGAACTCTCTTTCTTGGTTTTACCATACTCCCCTTAATTGATCAATCCTGAAAAGAGCATAACACAACAATGCAAGACTCCGTGACAATATAATTATCAAGAAAACTTGCTGAACCACTTTTAAGATTGACAACCACAAACAATAGATTTTCATTTATAAATTCCTGATGTAAAGATTACACTATCTTGTGCAAAAGGATTTTCAAAAAGGAATTCTTGGCTAAAAAAATCAGTATGTACGAATAAGCTTAAAATGTTCTCAATAGCAAAGAAATTCTACATCTGAAAAGGTGCACATTCATTTGATTTCATGGGGATGACAAATACCAATGTACCTACCTATACGATTTCAATGTCCAAACAGCAATTACAACAGATGATGGATCTAGGATAAGTCAAAATACATATCAATGCAAATCTAATCTAAAATTCTCAACCAATAGCTTTGTCGTAAAGGTATTTTGAATAATAAAATGTGTGGCTATATAATGTAATTTGCCTGATATATATATACAACTGAATTGCGATGAGTATCACAATTGCAAGTAGCTATAAATTGCACATCACAGATGCAAATACATGGAATTGCATTGAATATCACATTTGCAAATGGCAATGAATTGCTTCGAGTTTTACAATTGTAAATATTTTTGTTAGATATCCATTGAGAAGATCGCCAGTTAAGCATAAGACAATGAGAATTCGAAACATTTAGTAAACTCCTGCATTGAAATCATTGAACCGAAGCGACCAAACGGATCGAATGAATTTAAAAATAGTAACGTACGGTGAGGCCGACAAGAAATGAAGAGCGATATCGCCAGTGTTGATTTAATATTTCGTTACTGCCGGCATATATTTCAACTGCGGTCGAGCTGTTGACGTTCTCATAATGAATTTTATCGAATTTTTTGAAAACAATATTTGAATTCCGAGCGTCAACTCGTCAAACGAGCCCGGCCTACCATATTTCAGTGTAGAAATCGACTTAAGGACTTAAGATCATCCTACTTCAATCATCGTAAATTATCTCTTGTTGGCAACACTTACATAGTTTCACAGCAATTGAACAGCGAAGCTAAATGTCTCATTCATTTAAGTGCGCATAGGCACAAGCAATTCCTTTATCGACAAAAGCAAATTCAATGTCATTGCGAAATCTCATGGACAGACCAAAACAAACCCACATTACGTACAAAAAACACAAAATTTCTCAGGTTCAAATCATATGAATATATTCACTTGCCCTCTCTCATTCCAAGTCCTCCGGTCGCAATCACGACGAGCGCACACAGAGCTCTAACTTTTTGAAAAACGTTAGTTCGTGACGACTAGGGCCGGTGCTTCTTGCACATTACAATGAATAATCCGTAGGAGTCTTCAATGTGCACTGTGCATCATGGTCTCACGGTGCTGTATGTTAATTTAATTACCAGCAAAGTTTAGCCATTTCGATGTTCCTATTGGTCAGAAACACTGAAGGCAGGATTGAAAAATATGCCTGCCGTCATTGTGGTCACGTGTAATAAGATATTATTGAACTTCATTCGCAAAATCTCATTTCAAGTTCATCCGATCGTGATTCACAAGAGCCTACAGAGCTCTTGCTTTCCAAATAGCGTTTTTTCGTGACGATTAAGTCAGTGCATCATTGACATTATTTTTGAATAATGTAGACCATTTAAGTTATGCTACACTGTGGCGTATACACGCCCCTCGGAGCTGCGGTTAGCCGGATCAGCGTTCCTATTGGTCAGAAAAGGCAGTCGAACGGCTGCCGTCATGGTAATCACTTGAAATACGATATGCTTCACATGCAAAATTTGAATGCAGTGACAGTGACCCTGCTGTTTGCTCCCCACCTTCATAATGATTTGATGAAATAATTTAACTTTTATCTTTTCTCTTATAGAAGTAATCTCGGCGAGAAAACAATATTTGCCCTATGATGCAACGACGTATAATATGCAAGGTATTTGTGGTACAGCCAGCCCCCAAGTTCGTTGGTGTTACGTAAATATATCGATGATTTTAATCTCACTGTAAAAGATTTCTAAATGTATAAATACTGCTAATGATGCGAAATTTACATAGCACGACCAATCTTGCGGACCGACCAGCATTACAGTAGGTAAAGCTTTACCGTGTAATATACAGCCATATTTCAATGTGTTTCGTGCTTATTCCCACTACCCCCTATTTTGCAAAGATTGACCCCCACAAAACGACCAGAGTGCATTCTGAGCACAGTGCAAAGTGCGAAGATATCCGGCTTGTAGTTTAACACAGCCTGTCGTAACCGCGTACAAATATTCGCATGGCGTAACAATGGCGAAGTAAGTCATTGTATATTACAAACTTTAGTAAAGATCAGATCATCAAGTTAACTCCTTAAAACTTTAATGTTGAAACATCGATTTTTACCATAGCTTACGGCGGGAGGGGTGAACATTTACGTTTCGTGACTGAACGTAATGGTGTGGAGTTAAGCTTGTGTTGGCCTTGAAACATTGTCTTGACGTATGTCCGGCTTTCGAATCACAAAGAATGCACCCTGGAATAACGTACGACTGTACGAGTAGTATTTTATTTAAAATCATCTACAAAGAACAGAGGAAACAGATTATGCTGATTACTAATTTTACTCGTACGCGCGTGATTAAAACAAGCACGTGTACGTGACACAGTAAAGTTTCAAATAATGAGATAACCTCACTTCTCTATATAATGACTTCTTTTTGAAATAAATTATTTTTTTATGAGGAATGAAAAAACCACGAGCAATAAATTGTGATATTTACAAAGAGTGTTGAAGCAAAAACACTTTTTACGAAGGTTATTTTTGTACAAATTACAACGTAATTTACGAACATGAAATTTGATCCCATTCATAGTTTATAACAAAACCTCAAGCTTGAAGGTTTGCCTGTTTGCATGTAATATGAAGTTTTATTTATCAACCAATTTTATTTCCAAACGTCAAAGAAATCATTGATTATAATCCAAGTACTTTTCCAATTAAAAAATGAAGCTAAACTGCGTAGTCAGTTATCTGATGTACGGTGGCCGGTACGGGTCACCAGAAAAATAATTTAGAAAACATAACAAACAATAAGAAAACATCACTCAAAATCATACTACACATTTCAAAATACTCACTACACATTTCAAAATACTCACTACACATTTCAAAGTTCTCGCTACACATTTCAAAATACTCGCTATACGTTTCAAAATACTCACTACATATTCGTCCCAGTCTTACCCTGGTCTGGCCTGCCCACGGTCGTCATTAGTTTACATATACGAAATTGACGTGATGGCAGAAAGCTAATATAAATATACGCTTCCGATATTACTAACAGTTCAGTACGCGTAAGGATATTTTGATACTATTGTGGCGATATGTTGTCTATGTGGAATTCGGCACATAGACAAACATGTCGCCACAATAGCATCAAAATATGCGATACGCGTACATGAACTATTAGTAATATTTCTTCCAGGGATTTCTTGGTCTTGGTTAGACAACACAACATGAGTGGTCAATCTACAGATTACATGTAATTGTATTTGTATTGGTGATATTCGACAATCATTAGTTTAACTAATGCACTTATTGACGTGACTGGTATTGAAGTTCTAAATTTATTGCTTTTACTCGAAATTACCGAACTTTTCATTTTCTTTGGCGTTTCTTGTGCAACAAATTATAGCACTATGTGTAAATTTCCTCTTTGGTTTCCTTGCTATTTTTGTAACGCATCACACAAGTACGTACACGACATAGCGAATGCAAATTCATATACTCAAATTTTTGCTATTAAAGTACGGACATGTGTCGAAAGCCACTGCAAATACAGTTGCTGGCGATATGTAGATCCTCTACTAATGTTGTTGCCCGACCAAGTCCAGCAAAACCCTGGAAGAATTTCTGATTAGAGTTCAGCCAATATTTTCATGCTATTATCCCAATATCCCATTTTAGTGCAGCTGTTAATGACAAAAAAAACCACCTAACCTTTCACTTTGATGATACAAGTATGAAACGTTCTCACATTCTTACTATGCCTAGAAACACAAAATTTTGATATAGGGCCAGCCCATATTTTACATTTAAAACGAGTTCTGCGAATGTCGTGTTTGATGACATCGTCGCTATTAAAAAAAAAATAAAGTTCAGAGAATTCTGCAATTTCCCTGTATATTCTTATACAACAGCTAAAGACGATAGAAAAACTATATTACAACTTTTGCTTTTGAGCAATACATTCTGAAATATTCTACATTAAAAGTGTTTTAAAAGTGTTGACTCAGCACTTTTGTTTAATGTTATTGCTCTTTCTTAAATACATTGGAAAAGCGCCTAACGAAGAACAGTAATATTAAAATGATTTTAATGCCCTCATGTTATTGACAATCACCCCCACAATTACACAAACGAGTACAAACTAAGTGTGCTTTGACGCATTTACAACGACTAGAAAGTTGAATGTTAGCATGTCATGAAAGTTGACAATGGAGAAGCTAAAGAATTCCACATTTGGAAAGAAGATATGTCAAAGGATCATCCACAGTTTCTGTATTGGACCAGAGTTTTGGAACTAGAATTACTCTGTTTACAACTAGTGCGATCATTTAGAGAAGCTAATTTCTCCTTATACTTCCAGTCAATTAAGCAACTTGTCCCGTGGATGTTTGCTTTGGACAATGTTAATTATGCAAGATGGCTTTCTGTCCATATCCGTGATATGTCGGAGCTTCCATTCAAACATCCTGACGTCTTTAACCAGTTCTCTAAGGGCTCATTTGTGGTGCATAAAACGAAGAAACAGTTTTCAGCTATAGCATTAGATCATGCTCACGAGCAAGTTAATGCAGTGGTAAAGGGAGAAGGTGGTGCTGTGGGACTAACCGAAAACCTTTCAGCTTTAAGGAGATGGATGATTGCAGGTCCAGAAATTACACGAATAATTAGGGAATTCGAGATGAGTATACATGTAGACAGTCAGCTACACCATGAGCAAACTCCATCCATTCAATGAGAATTTTATAAAGATGTCTTAAATGTCGTCTCCAATTTTCAAGTGGTGGGGAATCCTTTTGTAGAAGAGAGCGAAGACCTATTTGCCATCCACACAAATGACGTGATGAACAGTTCCGTTGTTGATACGGTGAAGAATGTTGTAACCCTTGGAGAAGAACAATATCAAGCATTTGTTAAAGAAAGATTTGTTGAGAGAAGCAAGAGTATTAGTGAAACGTTGAAAAAGAATAATCTGCCAACGTTTAAAACAGGAAGAACAAAAGTTTCGTCAAAAGATAAAGTAAATATACAAACTCTGAAACTAGACTGTGCTTTATTTTCAAGATTGTATATAGCCAGTCAAAATCGAAGTGGTGATCTCGATGATTTCTTTAAATATGAGAACTAACCATGGCCACCATCTCTCTCACAAGCAGGAAGTTCGCGTACTGGTAATAAAGCAGACTTGACAAAGTATATCGAGCCGACTACCAAAGTTCAGTCACCAACTCCCGATGTTATTATTTTAGTCGGGCTGCTGTTGTTCAAATGATTTCACCTGGAACTTGGGAAACGTTCGAAGAGTACGCACAGTTTGCTTTCATTCCTTATGTGTTAAAGCAATTTCAATCAGCTAAAAGAATTAATTTAGTGTGGGATGTATAAAAAGAGGATTAGCTGAAAAAAAACGCACGGGAGAAGGGAGGCTTTGGTCAACGCCGCAAGGTTTCATCGACAGCACGTATCCCTACTGACTGGAAGGGCTTCCTGCGCGTAGAGGCCAACAAAATGGATCTTTTCAATTTCTTAGCGCAGAAAGTTATTTCCCAGCAGATTCCAGAAGGAAGAGAAATTTACAGTACATTTGAAGAAAAGGTCTTGTGCTTCCCTAAAAGAACCGAAGTATCAATGCTGGAACCATGTAATCATGAAGAGGCTGACACACGATTGATGGTGCACGTGTTAGATGCAAGTAACTGCGGCCACCAGAGGATTTTTGTAAGAACAAATGATACTGACGTATTGATACTGGCCATTTCAATTGTGAAAAACATCAAAGCAGAAGATTTATGGATTCTTTATGGTACAGGAAAGCACTCGCGTTATATTCCCGCGCATACAATTGCATCGACTATCGGACCTGACAAGGCATCCGTTCTACCGTTGTCTCACGCTTTTACGGGGTGTGATACTGTTTCCTTTTTTGGAGGTCGAGG